CTCCAGACCCCTCAGTCAGTCCTCAGACTCTCCAGACCCCTCAGTCAGTCCTCAGACCCTCCAGACCCCTCAGTCAGTCCTCAGACCCTCCAGACCCCTCAGTCAGTCCTCTGATCCTTCAGACTGAACACACATGGACTGACAAAGATCCTTGGACAACTCCTGGACTAGGTGTCCCATACTGTAGAACCTGGTACTGATCCAATACCCATTAAAGCAGAAACCGGTTTTCAAATCCTGATCATGGAACTAGCGGCTCGTGGGCCAAACAGGACTCGTTCTGAAGATTGTTCGGCCCCACAAAGCTGCCAGAATCCAAACCTGAATGAGCCGAACGTCCTGTTCAGACCTAAAGATCAGAACTTCTTCTGTCGTGTTTGGTCAACACGTCTGCAGCTACTGGACGGGTCCATCCAGTCCATATGGACTGGAAACATCAGCTAAAATCATGATTAGCAAAGCTAAAATCACTACAAGCATCGGCTAAAGTCAAGACAAGCATCAGCTAAAGTCACTACAACAATCAGCTAAAGTCACTACAACAATCATCTAAAGTCACTACAAGCATCAGCTAAAATCAAGACAAGCATCAGCTAAAGTCACTACAAGCATCAGCTAAAGTCACTACAAGCATCAGCTACAGTCACTACAACAATCAGCTAAAGTCAATACAAGCATCAGCTAAAGTCACGACAAGCATCAAAATGTCTTTTCAAACCAAAACGATTCAAAGTAGATTTACAAACTGGAGTATTTGATTGAAATGTTTGTATTAACAACAACAACAACAACAACAACAACAACAACAACAACAACAACAACAACAACAACAACAACAACAACCGTTTAATGAATCTTGCTGTGGCAAAAGAAAAGAGATGATCCAGATCAAATCGTCTTCTGCTGAAGTCTTCTTGGATCTCTGGGAGGGAAGAGGTAAAGTCCAGAGCTGAGAGCATCACTGACATGAACAACTTAAGTTTCATCCGTCTGCCATGACGGATGAAACTTAAGTTGCTTTTAGGAAAAACGAGGTCATTTGTGATTTGATGGCAACATTTCTAAGAAGTTGTGCTGGCAGCAACAAAAAGCTGTGAGTCCAGATTATCATCTGGAGGAGTATTTTTATATCAATTAATAATCAACAGGTCAGGGGGGGTCAGTCAGAAATAAAGACCTGTAATCAACATACTGTTGATTTTCACAGGAAGTATGTTTCAAAACAAGATGGATTCTGAGAACAAAAATTACTGCAAATAAAAGAACTTCAGGCCAAATCATAAAATGAAGGGTTTCATTTTTCTTTATGCAAAAAAAAAGAAGTTTGGCTTCGTATTTCTGTTTCTTTTGGGGGGGGGGGGGGGGGAACAAAAGCAAACAGCGTTGGCCGTGAGGATATCGATATTCCTATCGATCCGTGAACCTTTCCTGCGGCCCCCCGGCCCCCCCGGCCCCCCTCTTACCTGCCAGGATGGCCTTCCCGGGGTGTGTGAGCGCGGCTCTGCCCGGCGGGGCGGCCGCGGACAGACAGCGGGGCCGGAGGAATGGACTCCCGGTTCTGCTGGGTTCCGACATGACGGCAGTCTGCTGCTGGGGTCCGGAGCACTTGGACCACTAGACCTGGTCCGGATCAACAGTTCATTGTGTCCGTGGACTTTGACAGCGAACTTTTCTCCGTGGCAGCCGGGGCGGGCCGACATGACACTTCCGCCCCCGACGCAGAGAAGACGCCATGTTGGATTTTTTTAAGGTGGACTGGAGAGATGAGGACTTCCTCCTTTGACCGGAAGAGGGCGAGTTCACACTGAAGAAGTGCTAACATCATGTCCACTGAGTGGTTCTGGACCACAGAGGAGAACCGAACCTTTACTCGAGAACCCTGATCAGTTTTTCATTCAACCTTTATTTCTACAGGTTAATCACATTGAACTTGGAGCCATCCATCTAACATCCATTTATCATCCGTTCATCCATCCGTCTAACATCCATTTATCATCCGTTCATCCATCCATCTAACATCCATTTATCATCTGTTCATCCATCCATCTAACATCCATTTATCATCCGTTCATCCATCCATCTAACCATCCATCTATCTATCCATCCATATCATCTGTTCATCCATCCATCATCCATCTATCATCCGTTCATCCATCCATCATCCATCTATCATCCGTTCATCCATCCATCATCCATCTATCATCCGTTCATCCATCTATCATCCATCTATCATCCGTTCATCCATCCATCATCTGTTGTATCATCTGTTCATCCATCCATCATCCATCCATTCATTATTTTCCTCTTGTTCTGTTTTCTGTTTTATTTTTATTTCATTTCTTCTATGAACTTTTCATTTTTCATTTTATATGTTTGTTGTTGTCTGTAGCTCCTCTGTGTTATTTGTTAAAATCAGGTCTCTCTTGTAAACGAGTCTGCGTGGCTCCATGAGACTAACCTGTAGAAATAAAGGTTGGATGAAAAAAGAAGTCAGGTCTGGGGGCAGCATCTTGAGCAGGGAGGTCCAGACCTCTCTCTCCACAGCCTCTTCCACCTCTTCTGGGAGGACTCCAAGATGTTCTCAGGTCAACCAAGAGACGTAGTCTCTCCAACGTGTCCTGGGTCTTCCCCAGGGTCTCCTCCCAGTCGGACATGCTCGAAGCACCTCCCTAGGGAGGCGCCCAGGAAGCATCCTTACCAGAGTTCATGACCAGAGGTGAGGGGAGGAACGAAGACCGACCAGTAAACAGAGAGCTTTGTCTTACAGCTCAGCTCCCTCTTCACCACAACGGACCGGCACAGAGTCCACAATACTGCAGACACTGCACCAATCCATCTTTCAATCTCACGCTCCATTCTTCACTCACGTGTGAACAGAACCTCACCCTCGACCTGAAGAGCTCAATCCACCCTCTGTCTGAGGACCATGGCCTCAGATTTGGAGGTGCTGGTTCAACGCCCACTTCTTGAGAACTTTTGAAACTACTGCATTAAGCAGAACAGTGGTGTCCTATCCTGGCCTCTGAGGGCCACCATCCTGCTTGTTTTAGAGGTTCCTCTGCATTAACGCACCTGATTTGAATTAATTGTTGATCATCAGGCTTCTCGACTGTGAATAAAAATTTTATTATCAGAACTTTACACACGATGTCGTCTGCTTCAAATAGTCTGTGTTTTAAGAACACTGTGTGTTGTTCTAATGTTCAGGGCTTTTACTCATGGACCCAAAGGTGTTGTGATTTCTTGCAAATAAGAATGTTCTGTTTGGGTTAATGAATCTCATGACCCGGTCACAGGCCTCGGCCACTGGCTCCTGTACACCCCGGCCACCATCTTGAAGGTTTCTGCATGTCCACCTGATGGACTTGTGGGTTGGGGCTTCTGCAAATCAAGAGTTGTAGAAAATATAAAACCCTCGTTTTCATGTCATGGGGTCGCAACTTTCTCAGCTTCCTGTACTCTGAGGAACGGGCGACCTTCAGTTGGATTGTTCTTGTTTTGTCTTTATTTTCTTTATTTCTGTCGTGCAATAAATGCTACAAAAGATCATTGACTTCTGTAATTACTGAGTCCACTGTTTTCTCAGAATCATCACATGGTCTGAAGTCATCTGCCAGAAACGGTTGTGTCTTTCTGCCCAGATGGAAGGTGAATGTTTGCACCTGAGGTCACACTCCTGGACATCTTATCGAGCAGAGACTGAACACTCTCCAAACACAAACACGTCATTTCTGCAGAAATGAAAACTGTCTGCACACACACAAATTGTGATTGTAATAATGAAACATCCATCCATCATATCCTGATGCTGCTCAATAATCCAGGTAGAAAAATCTAAAAAAGTAAAATCTGGTCCTCTGGACATTCAAATCCAAAGTCAAATCAAATCCATCCGTCATCTTTATCCACTTCTTCCTTTTTGGGTCACAGGGGTCACTGGTGCTCATATCCAGCAGTCACTGTGCTGGGGGGTGGGGGGTCACCCTGGACAAGTCTCCAGTCCATACAGAGACACATAAGACAAATGAGACAAACAACCATCCCTCTCTCATCTAGGGACAATTTAGAGTTACCAGTCAGTCTAACATGCAAGTTTTGGTCTGAGGAAGGAAACTGGAGAAAATCCACGCATGCACGAACAGAACATGCTAAGTCCAACCAGGAAGATCCCCAGCTGGGATTTGAACCGGCAACCTTCTCAATGAGCGGCAACGCCTCTACTGAGCCATCGCACTGCAATTAATATAATGTAAATTTCTTTAAATGTTGTTATAACTAGGTTAAACAGTAACTTGAAGCGATTCATCCGACTTGGTTGAACATCAACTTTTGATTTTATTTTATTCAGAAAACCCAGTTTCCGGGCAGGCGCGTGCTGGTTTCCATGGTGATCGTGTCCGCGGCGTCAGTTTACGTCTGTGCTCGGTGGTCTTTACGCGCCTGCTACAGCGCGGACTGCGCATGCGCGAGTCCTTACCCAGCAGGTAATCTCCACCATGGCGGCGAGAGGCCATGTGCAAGATCCCAACGACAGGAGGCTCAGACCTATTTACGGTGAGTTTACAATGGAACCCAGATAATTAGGCATGTGTGGATGTTTATGAAGCTTTCAGGCAGCTTGTAGCGGACATGTGTGTAAAGTAAAAACTGCTGGAGGTGACAGGCGTCTCTGCGGCCGCTCCGGCTCCAGCCGCGGACTCTGCTGCTTTCAGCGGCCGATGACAGTGCACCTTACCCCGGGCGGGACGGGTCTGCCTCCGGTGGTGAACTGAACTAAACTTTACGTCCCCGTTTTAAAGCCACACACGTTTCTGTTCATGTTGCAGGCCTCAAAGACTTTTCTGTGGTCCAGAGTTAGCTCCGTGTCAGAGTCCAAGTGTTTGTCCTTTAGCTAGCTCTCAGTTTGACAGCTAGCTTAGCCGGCTGATGTGTCAGACTAGCAGGTGTCAGCATGGAGACTCTCTTACTGCAACACGCCGGCTGTTTCACTTCACAGGAGCCTGCGTCCTCCTGGATCACAGCTTCCAGTGGTTTGTGTGTAGCTGGGGGTCCTGTTGGCTTCAGTTAG